ATGATGACTTCATTCTCGTCATATTACAACTTTATTCTTGTAATTTTACTACTTTATTCTCGTAATTTTATGACTTTATTCTTGTAATTTTATACTCTTTATTCTCAAAATAGAAGAAAAAAAAATCTCTAGCCTGGCCGTAATACTCCGTTGTACTCCGGTTTCCCCCCACATTCCAAAAAAATGACTGTTTGGTCAGTCGCCTAATTGGCTTCTTTAAATTGTCCTTAAGTGTGTCATATTTTGAACGTGTGACTCTGAATGGGCGCAATAACTAAGACAGTCGTTATAAGCGAAAAAGTTTATTGAAATAATGGAGATGAACAAGATTGAATTTCAGCTGGTCGTGAGTCTTGTGAGCTCTGCTGGGAAAGATAGGGAGGATGATGAAAAACTTGAGCTTTGGGATTTGTGAAAATATGTTTTGGATGGTGAACTCACTGAGGTGGCGTCTTGGGCTTGATCTGGGGGAAGAAGTGCTGTTCAGTGGTCCAGGTTGTTGGTGCAGATCCAGATTCTCTCTCTCTCTGTGTTGGTTTGTTGGAGGGTGGACAGGCAGGCAAGCGCAGGCAGGAGCGCTGGTATGAGAACTTTCCAGGAGTCTCTCTGATTCTGATCCCAGGCTTGGGTTTCCAGACCTTCCACTGGATGGTTTTCTAGAGGGAAATGACAAGGACGAGGTTAGGATTTGGTCTCACAGAAAACAGGGTTTTCAACGAGTAGGTCTGTACCACGCTGAAGAGTAAACAAACTGACGCCCTCCTCCTGGTTTCAGCTCCTTATGAAGGCTGGTAATTAGCTCTGATGGAACTCACCTGCCCGTCCAGCCCTGCAGAGGAGGGATAGAGAGAAAACACTGCCAAAGAAAACACCTGCACCTAGACCACAGAGTATGAGAAGGCGTGAGTGTGAATGATTGTATGTCTGTGTGTTGCCCTGCGATGGACTGGCGACCTGTCCGAAGTAGACCCAGCCTCTGGTCCATAGACTTCTGGAGATACAGGCACTGGCCCACCGTGACCCTGATTGCATAAGTGGGAGAAGATGCATGAATGGATCTTACCATTTGAAAAAAATATACTTTGTACCAATGTCCTTGTTTCCCTGAGCTTTAAAGATAACCTCTATCGGAGGGAGCAAGAGGTTTGTTTTTTTTGGACAGCTAAAGTCTTTATCTTTTTTTCCAAAGAGGGGTACAGGAGGATATTCTGACTCCCTGAGCTCTGTTCTCCTCCTTGAAGAAGCTGAAAACCAGTTACCTCTCCAGTAGAGTCGGTTTACGGACTTCTGTCATCGCTCATTTAGAACAGAACTTGCCAGGGGCTGGATCATTGAGTGACAGCTCCCTCCAAACAAAGATACTAATCCATAATTGCTTATTTTAGGCTCCTGTCTCAGGTTCCATAGCTGTCAGGGAGTGACTATTGCAAAATGTTGTGCAACTATCTGTTTCACAATGAAAACTTACAGAATCTTTCACATTAGGCATTAGGATAGACTTGGACGAGGCCCTCTTTACAAAAGCTACCATGTCCCAATCAAGGCAGGTGGCTGGCCCTCCTGCTGCCGTTACATTTTAAATCATCCATCAGACACAGAACCTGCTAGTCTTCTTTTTGAATGCCTGAGTTTCAAAACGGACAAATCTCTTCAAAATGGTTAGTAATGTTTTTTCTATCACATGTTGACGTGACAAGACACAGCTGCTTAAGTCTTTATCAATGGCGTAACGACACAACAATAAGTAAGCAACATTATCTGGGTGGGCCCCATATGAAGCACACACGAGATGCAATTCTCAGCAGTATATGATCACAAATCACACACGGAAAAATAGTGACTGCGCACCTTTAATGGAACCATTGGTGAAAGCGCACCACCACATGTTACAGGCATCCCAAGTTCAAAAGACTCATTTCAGGGAGATGCTTATGGAACCAGCCCCACACCCCATACTGTAGATAACCAACCCGAAACGTGCCCCATACATACTCACTTCATCATTTTTCACCTTCACTATACATGGATATACATCAGAATACTAGCACAACAAGCCATCGGGCTACCTTGATCTTCACAGCCCCCCTCCTCCCCCTCTCTCTGTTCATCTCCTGGTCGCCATCTTTACTCGCTGTAGCAGCAACGTCCACCTCTGCCTCTTCGGTTCTTTGAAAGAACGTGTTTATTTTGGAAAGTTTGTTCCGTTCTTGCAGCAGCTCTTCTTTCCTTTTTCTTTTCTGGAATCCACTCAAGTACCTCTTTTTGGTATCCATCGTCGCTAACACATTGTACGTAACAGTTATGATTTTAATCTACGCTCTGGATTACCCATAATTCCAAGTCGTAGTGTAAAAAATAAAACAGTCAAATACATTGTTCTTTTAAGATCTTTATTGTGGTTTGAAACATGTTATATGAGTGTATTTTTTAACCAACCGTCTAATGAACTATACACAGTTATTAACATAGTAATTAAAAGTACAACTGTCTTCTTTGCTACTGGTGTTGTGATTAAACGGCTCACCATCATGTTGAAATCTGGCATGTGTTGCGCTATAAATACCCCACCACATCTGCAAAGAGACTTCCTAGTCTCCAATAGCGTAGGGGGCCCACCAGGTCTCAGTGACAGGGACCCTAAGAGGTCGTGGGCCCTTAAGCAACTGCTGTCTCTGCTTACTGTACCGACAAACCAACATGATGAAATTTGAGGTTTTTTGATTTCAGAAACTTTGTTTTATTAGTTAAATATTTCAAGAAAAGATTTACAGGTTAAAAGTATTTCTGTGGGTGAATTTACTTTCAACAACTTCATGAAAGAGCTTCAATGACAAAAATGTTACAGATTTTATTTTTTTCATCATCATTTATACATTTTTTTTTTTTCAAAACATGTTAACAAATTACTGAAACATTTAGGTCTTCATTTAAACGTATCTGTTTAACTGTGGCTCTTCACAGGAAGATGATGATACAGTAAATCTCTTGATTTTTCTAAATAAAGAAATCTTTGAAAATCAAACCATATTGCATGCTAATGAGATTTTATTTTATGTTGTTACAGAGAGATGATAAAGGGAGCAGAATCCCTGCCCCCATCATTCCAACCAGGACTGAAGAATGGGTGGATTATTTAGAAGGACGAGAACTTGAACAGCAGCATTACCATCATTATCAAATGACATAATTCACAAACACTCACACTGTATCTCTGTTAAATCACACAAAAAGAAGAAGCTGATTGTTAGAGAGTGCAGCTACTATAACTCTCTTTGGTTCTGGAGACAATTGTCTAACAGCCATTTTCTGGGGTGAGGCTAGGGTTGCCAACCGTCCCTTGTAAAACAGAGTCATTCAGTATTTAGAAATAGAAATACCTGTCCCATATTTAGTGGGAAAAGAACGCGCTTTGTCCCGTCTTATTGTGAGAGTCAAAAAATAATCAGTAAAAAGCTCATGGAAAATGAAGAACGAGTGCACGTTAGATACAAAACTTATGGTAAACTTAATCACAGGCCCTGTCCTGCGTTGAGCTGACAACATATATGTAACGATCCACAATACCCTCATCCCATTGGTTGAGCCAAGCGATGCTCAGCTTTACTCTGCAGCACTCAAAAACAAACAACTCCTCACTGCTGCAAGAGCTCAGAGGAAATACAAGTGGAAAAAGTAGTCTATCACCACATAATGTGGCATTAAACTAATGATTTTTTTTTCCCGTTTTACAACTGTAGCTTATAGTCATTGCATTTAAGGCACAAATATTTTTACAAGTTTGCTGTTGCACCAAACATTTGCACTATTTATTTACTGTTTTCTATTCATTTTTAAAGTTTAAAGTAAAGCAAAACAGGCTTATGTTTAAGATACTTATTTTATTCAGCAAAGTTTGTTATTTTGTATTAAAATGAATTTTGGGATAATTTGTTTTCCATGTGTTCATGTCACTCAGAAATATGCATCTAACAAAATGCAAATTTGAGTCAAATAGTAAAAAAAAAAAAACATTTCACACACAAGGGGGGGCATAAGAAAAAAATCACCACGCCAGGAGGGGTAAAGGCAAATGGGTCAGCTGGCACGCACATGAGGTGTCCCTTTTTTCAGGGAGTTGGCAACCCTAGTTGAGTGTCACTTCTACCTTTTTTATTAACAGAATCTTGGATTCTCCCAGAATCCAAGGCAGACTGGTGGGACTTATTCGCCTCAGTTTCCTGCAGCTTCTTCATCCCATTGTCTGATGACCTCCGACAGCTGGTCCATGGCTCGCTCCATGGCCTTCCTGATCAGTCCTTCATATACGATCGGACAGATCTTCTCCTGGGTCCAGTCTTTGGTAGGTGGAACAGCGCTTAGATCATGGACATCCTGGAAGACAAGAAGTTCTTTAAAGTGTGAAAGCAGCTCCAGCTGAACGTGCCTCCTCTTCAGCTTTGAAATCTCCTGCTCAAGCTCAGCTATGACACTCCGCATCTGCTTCTCCTTCACTCTCTGCTTTTCTTCCACCATCCCGATCAGATATGCCTGAGAATTCTTCAAAGTTTGAATCAGAGAGGTGAAGATCTGGATCCCATCAGTCATCTCTCTCTCTGCAGCCTCTTCCCTGAGCTGCATCACATCTTTGATTTCCTTTATCTTCATCCATCTCTGCCAGATCAAGTGCTGGATCCTGGCCGACGTTTTCCAGAGTTCTTCTTGTTTTTCTTCATATTTTTCGTCTGAAGGAACCCCCTGGTGGAACCTGTTACTGGAGGCCCAGGTGCTTTGACGAATGTTAATTTGTTCATTCTTGCTGAAGAGCTCACGGTAATTATGGTGTTTGGAGCATCTGCGAGCCATGAAGAAAAGAAGTAGAGCCACCATAGTAACGGCTAACAGCAGGTAGGACCATGAGGGAAGGTGTTTAGGTCCAACAGGAGGATCACGGGAAGGTTCTCCTGGTGTCACGCTGACCGGCTTTGAGTTGTTCCCCCTCTTTTGTCCTGCAGACACCAGGTACTGAATAGTCAGCTCAGATATAATGGTATTCACAACAAGCTTGTGCTTCTTATTCACTCTCTCATTGCATATGGGGCACTGACACCGAGGGCTCAAATCCAGATGCTTCTCTATGCAGGCTCTGCAGAAATTGTGTCCACATGGTAACGTGACAGGCTCCACGAACACATCCTGGCAGATGCAGCACCAGAAATTCTCGTCTGCAAGCTGATAGGTAATCACAGACATGTTGGTCACCTGTTTGCCGCAATAAGGTGAATTATAGAGAAATCCTTCTGCCGTTAATGATCCTATATGTAGAAAACACAAACAAATGCACAGATCTAACACCTCTTTCAAAACAAAGTCTGTTTGGTGCTTCTTAGATATAACAGATATCGAACAAATCCCTATCAGTACTTACCTGGACTAGGCAGAGATAAGTATGTGGTCCTGGAAATATGCAGATCTTCTGAGCTGAATGTATTGCTGTCTAAAAAGACCTATAGAAAACCCCTCCCTGACAGAGAAACCACGCCTGGTCACATACCAGTAAACAGTATAATTATAGACTAAAGCAATCTGTCAAGTCAAGTTGTACACCTCAAGTCTGTTGCATCTTAGTTTATATCACCAGAACGCATTTGAAAGTGAGGAAATAGTTGGAGCGACCAGTTAGCTCTGTAAAGGAGATGGAAAGAAATTGTAATCTTACTCAGACGAGATAATTTGTTTGGGTTTAACAAAGGCAGCTACTTAACAACCGGGCTAACATCTCCATGAAGCTGGTCCTAAATCACAGTTAAAGAAGCATTTTATTCAAACTCCAGTCTGTCACATCATCACATCATTACATCATACATGTTTGTAAATGAGGAGATATCCATGGCTCTGGCCATATCAAAATATTACACAGTGTCGCAGATAACAGCACAGAGAACTTGGTGTTAAGGAAGATCCACTCTGTCTCAATCTCTGTTATGCACATAATAAAGATGATAACTGTATATCCAGTTAGATAAACTACTTAAGAAAACATTAGTCGTCCTCCTAAATAAGAAAGATTCTGCAAAGCTGCCAAAAGTTTCATTCAGCAATACTGTGAACCAGACGCTCGACATTTACTGCAGTCCCTCCCTGGCAACTAATGCTAAAGAATCTGAGACATGAGCCTAGGGGATTAAATAAGAAATTTGCACCTCCATCAGGAGAGCACGGACAATCAACACCTCTTGCATTGTTTGAAACCTGTTTTCAAAGGCCGTGGGCCCTTGTACATAAAAGAATGTGCAGCTTTCATCATAAAAGTTGACGCACAAAAGAAGTGAGATGTATGAAGCTGCATCAACGTGTCACTGCATACTTAACCTTTTAATCTTCATTTTGAACTGACATTAGGGACTCACTAAAGCAACCAGCTAAAAGATAAAAAGTCTCCATGTCACAAATAAAGACATGGATATGACCAGTAGAAGCCTACATAACCCAGACGGAAGTTCCGGGAGACTCCCTGATATAGATAGTTGTTCAAGGATGCCCGCGAGTCGGATAAATTATCCCAGATTTTACACTCTGTAAGGAAGTGTTTTTTAATGCGAGTGAGAGCGTGCAGGCAATAATTCATGCATCATGCGCAGACAACAAAAGAGAGCGGGGTGTGGGGAGGAGGTTACTGGTGAAACCTGTGCAGCGTATCTGTCCAAAGTGATGCTCTGTTCAACCAGCATTCAAGATGACTGATTGTCAGAGAGCTGATTGGATCAATCCAATAAGTTTATCTGGTTTACTCTCTGGCAGTCACCTAGTTACCACTCAAAGCTGTGCATCCGGGGAAACGGCAGAGGTTGAATCCTCCAGTAAAAAACAAAAATATAGGACTAATTTCACAGCAGAATATACTAAATTATATAAATGTCTAGTGAAGGAGAGGAACAGTGGCAGATCTAGACCAAATGTACCATGGGGCCAGGAGGGGGCCAGTGTGTTTTCATGGGGGCACAGAAAAAGCATGAAATAAATAATCAGGGCAAGGGATTCAAATATATTAAGAGAGCTGCATGAAGTGAAATTTCTTTTCAATTAAGTTCAATAAAAATTCTATTTCTTATGAGGCCAATATACATTTAGAATTTAGGAATTTTACATATTGTTGACTTAATTTAAGTTACAACTACCGTTTTCTATAAAATTTGAATTAGAACTCAAGAAAAGCTGTTAAATTCATCTGTAAAAATTAGAGCATTTTTTTTTTATTTGTTGTGAAAAAAAAAAGAAAGCTGGGATCCTATCTCAGTACCACTGAAGCTATCACCTTATTGTTTTTGAAT